CCTGCACCCCCCGCTTCCTCTCCTGTCTGACTGGGCGGAAGTGACGCCACTTCCGGTCACCATTAAGACGAAACCAGCTTGTTTTGAAGCCGCTGGAGCGGCAACGCTCAGGCCCTGCGCTGCTAGGGCAAGGCCGCCTCCTCGCCCGTCACTGTCAGCCGATACTCATGTAGGTTTCCCGGGCGGCCCCGGCCGTACTCCCCCGATGGCGGCCCTGCCGCTGGCTTTTGCAGCCACCTAGTCCCGGGACATTTCAAGTCAAAAATCCGATTTTGGGAGGGTAAGGAAGGATTAAAACCCCTTCCAGTGTATTTGTTCATGACTGTGTACCATTGGGGAAATCTCCCTTCACTTCCTGTCCCAGAGTGCAATAGGAAGTTCATGAAAAGCTACTAATCCAAACAGAATTCCCCTTTAGACAGTGGTTCCAGGAACGTGTGTCTTCATTTGAAGGTTTTACCTCATCTCTTGTTCCGAGTACAACTTTAAAATGTTTCCTCTTTATGTTTTGCAAACAATTAGCACTAGTACAGCACATCAATAATTCATTAAAAGAAAGGAAATGGTATAAAGAAGACCTTGCTCTTCAAGACAGGTGAAGTTCCAGCTGTAGCTTCATCCGTGAACTGGAGATGTATTCTGTGAGATCAGTTATGGAAATGTGGGCCGAGTCCTAATTCCAGGCCTGTCTTTTCTGCTCTAGTAACTCTTGCCACGAATACATATCCAGTGGCGGTATGCCAACAGGAATATTGCCTTTAAATCACTGCACTGCTTGAGGCTTCTGTCTTGTCAGGCTTCCTCAGGAAAAGACGGTTACTCTATGACTACAAGTCTTTTTCAGCACCTGCATAGGTTTAGATCGCTTTCAATTAGGTACTGCAGTGCCTAATGCTATAGATTCTGAAGCTCACCCCAAGTCCTTATACCTAAATGAATGAATGCCTGGCATGTAAGGAATTCCTTATGTAAATACAGCAGGTTTATATAAAAAAATATGTCTGTATCAGATTTAGCTAACGTGCTCAGATGGTATGTGTCTATCAGGAAGCTTGGCAAGCTTTTACTAATGGAAAAAGTATGAGATGCTGTGTGGACTTGTTTATCCAGGGAGAGAGCTTCACGGCAAAATCCATGAATAAATACAGGTTTTATGGTATAATTATAGCTTTACCTAAAGTACATTTTCTGCCAGAATTAAAAACCAAGCCTTGGAATGCACATGAATAAAAGGAGACCCTGTCTATCTGCCAGAGATGTCTGATTTTCATTCAGGCGCTACTAGAAACATAAAACGTTCTTACACCAAAAAAAACAAGCGGTCCATCAAGTTTTTGTTTTTACTTTTATTGCCTTTCGAGTATAGATCTAGGTTTGTCTCAGGTATCTTTAAATTCACTCACTGTTGACTGACTTACTACTTCTCCTGGAAGTCTGTTGCCAGAGTCAACTACTCCTTCAGAAAACCGATACTTTTTAAGGTTAGTTTCAAACTTTCCTCCTCCGTCATATCTCCATGTTCTTGATCTTAGCTTCATATTAAAAAAAACAAAAAAACCTGAAGTGTATTCCACACCCTTAATGTATTTAAAGGTTTTGACTAGGGGTGCACCGATACTGAGTATTTGGGCAAGTACTCATACTCGCCCAAATGCTCTGATACTTACTTGATACCGGAACTTCTCAAAGATTCCCTCTGACCAGCAGTGGAGTATGGAACCGGCTTTCCACCAATCAGGAAGCCAGGCAGCGGGTCATGCCACTAGGAAGCCGGCTTCTTTTGTTGCTAGGCAGCCTGGCTTCCTGACTAATTCTGGAAGCCGGGTGGCATGTCATGACCTGCCCCACCTGGATTCCTGATTGGTCAGGAAGCCAGGCTACCTTGGAACGTGAAGCTGGTGTTCTTTTGATAGAACACCGGCTTCCCAGGGAATTAGGAACCCAGGCCCACAGTACCCCGGGAGGCCGGCATCGGTATTCGGTATCAGTGAGAAACTAAAAAAACAATAATCGGTACTCGTACATGATTCCTGGAAAAAAGGGGATCAGTGCATCACTAGTTTTAACCATGTATCTCCTTTCCCATTAAGACTGTACATATATAATTATTATAATAGTTAATTGAGGTCTCCAGAACTGGACACAGTATTCTAAATGAGGTCTAACTAAAGAACTATATAGGGGGATCAGGACCTCCTTCCTGCTGCTAGTGATCCCCCTAATAAGAATTTGATTTGCTTTCCCCACCCCTTGACCACACTCGCTGGTCATTTTACAATCATCTGAAATAGGCACCCCAAAATCTTTTTACTGTGAAGTTCTGGCCCACACTGTACCCCCAATATTGTACTCTATCAGAGGGTTCTTCTTCCTTACGTACATTATTTTGTATTTAAAAATTCTGAATTGCAGTTTCCACCACACAGCTTTGATCAATCTTCCAGCAATGCCAAATCCTGTTCCACAGTAACTCAGTTGCATACATACTTGATTTCCACATTGTTTTGTCTCCTTCCCATCCAATTCCTAATTTTAGCAAAAATTATGTTTTCTAGCAATTACATACTGTACCATAAAGAGAGAAAGGGCAATTTTGTCTTAACACTTGGAAAGCATACCATGTATTATAAAGTGTACCTGTTGTCTCCCTGCAACCAGTGTAATCTGGAAGAAAGTCTAACAGGGTTATTCACAAAAGGGTGAAGAGATTGGAGAAGGGTGAAGAGTTTGGAGAACTGAACAATCTAGGACAACATAGCTGAACTGGAAAGTGAGCTGCATTGGGAAATCTTTCCAGTTCAGCTATTTTGTTCTAGATTGTTCACTTCTCCTGCCTTCTCCAAACTCTTCACCCTTTTGTGAATAACCCTGTAAGTGTTTAACAAAAAAAAAAAAAGAACCAATAAAAGCTCTGCTAGCAGCACACACTTATCAGGACATGCACCTTATATTAATGTCACAATACAAAGAATCCAACAAATAGAAAGGCTGTACATGTATAGCATACATCTTTTATAAAAAATAGAATGGTTTTTACTGTGTTACATAAAGTCTTTATAGGTAAAGCACATACAACACAGGCTGCACACATTTCAAATAGTTCTTGAAAGCAATATTTAAAAATATTAGTATTTTAAAGAAAATAGTGAACAGTAACATAAAATTGGCGAGTGCATAAAAGCTTTTCTATTGTGTATATTATAATTTACTAAATGGTGCACCCTGTAGTTGGGTGAAGAATGTAAAAGGCACTGAAATGACACTGGACACAGTCCTTCAGGCTCAAAGACCTACAGGAAAAGAATGGCTAGGCCTCTCCTCTCCTCATATGTCAGGAGCAGCAGCTGCGGCTTTAGTTAATGTACCAGCAAGGTAAGAGCCGGCCATCCACCATATTTCTTTTACAGAGAACACATCAGCTGCTCAGTCCGCTCTTGCTATTGGCCGAAGCTCAGTTCCATCTTCTCCGTTCTGCAGTGGCCTGTTCTTTATCGCCTCTGGGTCGCTGCTACTCTGGTGTATTAATGTCTGTAAAACCAATGTTTGAAGCCACAAGATATATCATAAAAGCGCAGTTCAATAATTGTTGCACACATCCAACATACAGCAAAAGTAGGCTTATACAAAAGGCATATTGAAATGGATTTCACTGGGGCTAGGGTTAGCGCCATTTGTTATGATTGATAGTGGACAGTGGTCAAAGGCATGGGTTCTAAACTAGGGGGCCTGGCTTTATTAGTCACCATTTGTCACTGCATGTAAAAGTAAGCACCAAGGATTGTCAAAGACAAAGTTCATTGTGGGAAAATCTCATCACCACAGGATGTTGGAATATCCACTCACTAGAGGCTGATCTGTAAGGAGAGGAGACTTCAGAGTGGGGACATCTGGTTATATGGCCACCTGCCACTGAATATTTGCTTATACAGTATATATGTCATAAAACTGGATAAGGGATTTGGGTTCTATAAGCTAGACAAGGGAGCAAAAACTGACAGGTGGCATCCTTATTGGGCTCCTCAATGCAAACAAAGGGGGATCCCATTTCCCATAGGAGTGAAAAAAAGAGCTTCCCACTTCTCAATGTCCAAGGATGCTTGCCCTGACCATTTTACATTGCTAGACAGTGTGAAGTCCAGCCAATAAAATACACTATTTATCAAAGAGCAGTGTTTCTGAAACCAAGTTCAGCCATGCACTAATATTACAATTCCGGATTGGTTGACTACCACTCTTATAAGTTGCTACCTCTGTTCATACACTAAGCAATCCATTTTCTAAGCAGAACTTTATCCTCTCCATAATGGCCACTATAATGGCTACTGTTAACCATAAAAGCGTTACACACTTTGGTAAATACGGCCATAAAGAACCATTGTATTTTATGGTTTGGTCACCATCATTCACCAGCAGCGGGCAAGTTGCACTTAAAATCTGTAAAACTGAAAATCTTTGCCCTGAATACACCTGACAGCTACAGCAGAGCGAAGGCTCCTGAATAAACAAGTCTTCAGTTTTACTGGAAATCCTCTTCAATAATATCTTCAAGCTTCTGTTTAACGAAAGACATTTTAAGTGCTGAAAATCTTTGAGGTAAATGTGGTATTGAGGAAGCCGACTTCCAGTCTCGTAATCACATTAAAGGACGCTGCATGTGGTCCCCCCTCCACTTCTCTGTAGCCTGAAGTGGTTGAGAACCTAAAATAGTTTGTATCAAGATATATATTAAATGTGGAGAGGAGAAATATCTCAAGTTCCATCAAATCATGGTTATTAATGCAGCTATGTATATATTTGTGTAATACCTTTAGATGTCCCGCTGATGCCTGCACAAGTACAAACTGTAAGTGCCACATAAATACAGTGTGCTACTTTTCTTACAACACAAATCATTTTGCTGTACAGTGTGATTTGGATTCTATGTCTAGCTCTGGCAGAACGCCACTAGTCTCTAGCAATGGGGGAGGACGCATTTTCATTGTCAGTGTACCAATGATTCCAGGAACAGGTAGGCTGGATTTGGCTACAGTCAGCAAGTTTAATCACAACAAGATCCCCCGCTATAATGAAACATGCTTCACTACTCCTCTACTAATTTGCTGTAATTAGGAACAAAACATCTCCCTGGCATTAAAAAAAAAAGAGGTTTCTGCTGATGCATTGTGAAATCTGTTAATTGTTTGTTCTTCATGCAAAGTTTGTTCTATGGTTTGGAAAGATTGTGGGGAATCTACAGCCCCATCTTTACTGGCCAGTTAGGGGCCTCACATTTTAAGCTGCAGTCTAGACCTCCCGCTCAGATGTTGGGTGCATTTTACTATATCTATATTTATTTAGGAAAGCTCTCTGGATTCGGGATGAAGCATGTTGGACAACTTCACCAAAAAAGAAGGTGCCTTTTAAAGAGGACCTTTAGGCCTTGTTCACACCAAATGCAGAGCAGATCCGGTCAGGTTTCTGCACACGCACGCTAGTCTTTTAGATGCGTTTTTTTGTTGTTGTAGTTTAACATGGGCTTTCAGTGCGTTCCAGGCATTTGATGTGTTTGCAGATCCAGAGCAGGTAAAATAGGGCCTGCTACAGTTTTTTTTTACCTGCTCTGGACCTGTTTTGGATCTGCACGCTGCGATGTGAACTGGTGCTAAAAATACCATGACAGTGGCCATGTTTACTAAGGGCAGGTTACTAGCTCTCCTAGTACTTTCTGGATTTCTAGCACATGTGACTAGGACATGCGATCATGCACATCATCACAGGGGAGGAAAATGCCTTTCCCTGAGATCTCATAAGATTACAGATGTGATTTCGCAGCAATGCTCTGCTGATTAAGGATGGGCTCGGGCGTGTTCGCATGTCCACGTGCCGAGCCCGCTAGGAAGCTGACAGCGCGCAGCGCCAATCACAGGCACTGAGACATTTCCCGATCTCTGCAGCTGCGGACCGAGAAAATGCCTCAGTACCTGTGATTGGCGCGCTGTCAGCTTCCTGGCGGGCTCGGCACGTGGAGCTGCGGACACGCCCGAGCCCATCCTTACTGCTGATGACAAGGCAATCCCAGTGTGCATTGCTTTGCCAAACTGAAGTAACTGAAGTAAGTATTTAAAAATCACAGCATTTTTCACCTGACATGACTATGTTATTATTATTCATCATACATAGAGGGATGCATTGGTAGATTTTAAATTCTGGAGTGTAAAGGTCCGCTTTAAGTGTCAATGAACATAAGAGTTGGAGACATGAATGCTTACTCACCATCAGTTCCTGATCCATGAAGTAGGGTTTTTCAGATGAGCCATCATTGGTCTCAATGTCTATTGCGTAACACAGGAGCAGACTATGTACAACACTTTCAAACAGAGATAAGAAACTGTGTGCAACCAGATAAGCAAAGAAAGCAACCAACAGCAACGGGATGACCCAAACACGCAATTCTCGATGGTAATTAAAAGCCATTAGTCCTCCAAATACTGTGAAACACACAACAAAGACCTGACGGGAAAATAAATGTTTAAAACATTACATTTAACATGCCTTTCAGTGTAACTTTTACAGAGAGTTCTTACTCTATAGAATATTCAGACACATTTGATCTTATGCAGTAAAGAATATCTGCTATGGGTTACTACACTTAAAGAGAACTCGTTATTGAGAAAGGTCACTATTTCAGAAGTGTTAATTACTCTCAAATAGAAAGTAAACTAGTTATGGATAGAGTAGAGAGTGGTATGTTTTTTTCTTTCGGTGGCACGTCCCCTCATCTCCTATTCTTTTGAACACTCAAAACTGTTGGATTTCCCATTACTTTCTGTACTGGAGACAGTGGTCACCAGGACCAATAGATAGAAAGGGCGAATCTCCCTGCCAGGCACACATCAATAAGAACCATACAGGGGCAATGACGTAACAAGTGAAGTCTTGGGGTGGAAGGGGGCCCAATTGAAGATTGCAGAAGTTGCTATTGGGACTGACATTTCCATAAAGAAGAGCTGAGATCAGATGCGCAGGAGGAGACTAAGCATATATCCCATCTGCTCCTTGACTTGAAAATCGCTGGCATTAAGGAGGTAGCTGGGGGCCTCAACAAAACTTTGCTACTGGGCCCCATGATCTGCAGATACGCCCGTGGACAGGGGTTATAATCCTTCCACATTCTATCTGAAACAAAAACAAGTTTTGGCTTTACAAATACTTGAACTCCCTGAAACTATGTAACAGGAAGTGCATGGGAGCATAGCTGCATTGTGAAGTGCTCCATCAAACTTAAAGGAGAACTATGGGGTCAGGGCTTTTCCCCATAGTTCTCCTTAGGGTAACGGGAGGACACAAACTAGCGTCCTCCCATCACCCTAGGCTCAGTATACCGCGAGCTGTAGCTCACGGTATACTGAGATGCCGCAGCTGAAGCGCATCCCGACAATTGTGCCGGGATCCGCCCAGCTGCGTGACTGACAGCTGGCTCTGCCTATCTAGAGGCAGAGCCAGCTGTACCCGCCCCCCCCGGTCCGTTCCGCCAATCAGCGCTGGCGGATCGGAGCGGGGGGAATCGAGCCCCCCCGTCACGGCAGAGAGCCGTGACAGGATCGAGAAGTGAGCGAACGCCGATATGTGTTCGCTCACCTCCCGATCTACTAAGCTGGCCTGTGACAGTCTCATTGTCACAGGTCGGCTAGAACTATGAGGTGAGTGAATAGCACTCACATCATAGTTCTCCTTTAAATGGGGAAAAAGAAGGTCAGTGCAGCTGGCAGGTTGTGCCTCAGTGCAGAACATCGGTGTAAACAACCCACTTTAAATGAACAATTAGAGGTTAATACATGCATTCTGCTTTTGCTGGAGAATGCATCAAACTGCATGAAAGACCTTATGTGAACCAGTCATTAAAGAAAGCCAGTCACAAAGCAGTTTTGGCTTATATACAGCCCTCGTTTCTTTTATTTTGAGCTAGTTTGCATGTATAACATCCATTACTGAAATCTGTAACAGACTGCAGTAAAGGTTATCTGGGGTTTTCAGAATTAATCTGCCAAAAAATACAAAGGCTGAGCAGGAAAAATCATTTGAGACACTGTAGCCAGGTGTGAACACAATCTGACTCCATGAAGTTGTGCATAACCCACCAAACCTATGAGACCACATTTATTAAATGGCTGGATCACAGTAAACAGAAATCTGACTTGTTGCTGTAGGAAAAGGCACCTTACACATGATCACTGACTCTGCATTGCTTTGCTGAATAAGCCTGCTCTGAGTGAGTGGTTAAAGTGTAAGAAAGAAACCCTCCCCCTTCAACATCACATACATCATCTGTGTAAGTCTAGCTTTTAAGCTACATGGGCGTCCCACTGCCTATGCAGCCTGCATTCCGTTATGTGCAAAATCCTGAGTGCCGAGGATAGGGGTGGGGACACAGGAATTACCATAGACTAAAACAATCATCCCTATCATTAACTTGGCACATGCACAGGTGGACTGCCATTATACCCTATGGTAGTTCCTATGGTAGTTCCTAATGGCACCACCACTCATGTGCTGGGCAGTCAATGACCATACGCAGAGGACAATATGCAGAATTTTCTTTAAAATGTTTCATTCAAGTTTGATTGAGATATCGGATATAAAAAGTCTTTTTTTTTAGTTCTCCAATGCACACATGAGCTTATTTCATAATGTAGCCCGAAAAGCAATAATAATGTACAGTGAGTAATCTGTTGTAATAATTTCCACTAAATTTTGGTCAGCAGAGACTATTTCGGATTGTTTCGGAGAGTAACAACACTTACAGGGTTATTCACTAAAGGGTGAAGAGTTTGGAGAAGGCAGGAGAAGTGAACAATCTAGGCCAAAATAGCCGATTTGGAAAAATTCTCCAATTCGTCTCACTTTCCAGTTCAGCTATGTTGTCCTAGATTGTTCACTTCTCCTGACTTCTCCAAACTCTTCACCCTGTTAGGCATTAACCTTTGCTTATTATATGAACCCACATCAGTGACTGATACTTCTTTTGCCATGGAACATCAGTGACCGATACCTCTGTTGCCATGGAACATCAGGGACCGATACCTCTGTTGCCATGGAACATCAGCGACCGATACCTCTGTTGCCATGGAACACCAGTGACCGATACCTCTGTTGCCATGGGTTATTGGTCTATTACAGATATTCTATCGAAACTGTAGGGAGGAAAGGGTGAGGGTATTAAAAACAGAAGCCAATCAAGGTATTCTTTTTTTTTGTAGTCTATACTAGAAAAAGCTGGAGTTTTATAGGTTCCTGAGGTGGAAATGTTCACTCTTTGTGTCTCTGTTTTTTTTATAGAAAGCTCCCAAACAATATAATACACACTATGAATGACACCACACCAAAATTTGTTGAAAACGGAACATATTACCTTTCCAAGAAAAACAAGGAATACCGCAGAGCATTTCAGTGATGAGACACAGGGGGGAGTTTTCGTCATAAGACTGTAGGCTTCCTTGGCAGAGGTACAGAATGGGGTTCCATTAATTACGGTCGCTGTGTACGCATTCTAAACGTTAGAGAGATGAAGAGGGATTTGTTGAAAGTGAAATTTTCTCAAACAGTGAACATAAGCAGAGGAGTTTTGTTTGTGTAACCCTTGTCTGCGTTCTCAGTGTGCCATAATTATATGCCTTTGGGATCCCACCAGTAACCTCATCAAGTTTATACCGCTGTGCCTTGAGTTTATATAGAACTGCTATTACGGTGTATTATTTTATCGTGGGAGAAATACCACATGCAATCAGCAAAGCAGTGTTACTTATTCACAGCAATGTGAACAGACGTCATACTAGTAACCTAAGGTGGAATCAAATATTTGTTAATGAGTAAACTGAGCCTGGAAGTACCCATCAGAAATAGTAGTGTTCAATGTTGCAGGAAAGATAAAAATACATTTGATTTTCCTTTTGTACACACAAATAAATACACAAATAATAATAACAACACTATTATTATTTAATATCCAATATATTACAGCTAATATCTGTTGGACTTGAAATTGTTAGAAAACATATGCTTTCCATCATTGCAGTGAATTTATACATTCACTAAGTTATATCCCATGTGTTGTTTAGCATAACAATTATCTTCAGCCAGATTGGTGAAAATAATAATCATTGTGGAAAATATAGATGTTGTAGTGAACTGAGCCTACAACGCAGTTATCTTCAGTGTGCACAGGTTACTTGAGATATTTACAAATCTTTGAGCTCAATGTAGAAGTGTTAATATTCAAGGTGACAGTTTCAAACTTCAAAACATACCACAAGGGTATATGATATGCAGAGAGCAGATGCAGGTATACAAACAATTCAAACATGTCAAGGGCTTCTGCCTGTTCAGATACTAATGTACAGTTTATTTTTTTAGACATTTTTGTTTTATATACAAGAGCTGCTTATCAGATTTCTTTAAATCTGGCACTATGGACCAATTATCTGCTAATCAAATTACAGTTTATCCTCTTGACACTAGTCAATATTTGCCAGTGACATCAATAAAACATATGACAGATGGTGACAAAATCCCTCTTGAGCTCTTAATGCTTTCATATAAATATTTACACAGTAACAAGTTTGCAAATTATACTATATTCTGTCTCTAAAACATAAAGCTGGTTGGCTCAGGTGTTCCAATTGGCAGAATGTTCAGTGTATGGCGAATAACGGGAATACAGACCCTGCTTTGAAGATGCTGAAACGTGTTACCAGTATAGAAACCAGACCACAGAATCTCCTGTTACAGAGAGGCTGAAAGGAATTTAATACATTTCAGATATTTATGAAGCTTACCAATCAATGCATGGCACAGATCTCTCTCATCCTTTCAATAATAACTAGTCCCTGCAATGTAAATATGTTACGATTACTATATAAATTAGGTGAGAGAACAATTGAAGTATAGAAGCCAATGTGTTACAATGGCCCAACTGTTCTCTCAAGATGGAAAAAAACTATGGGAACTTGTGTAACTATGCAACCCCATCTGATAATCTCTGAAAGCATCAAAGGGACAGAGCCATGAACTTTCAGTGTGAACCGCATAGGAAAAAAAAAAGACTGAAAAATACAGAAATGATTATAAGTCTAATCTTGTCTAGTGCAAATAATAAACACTTCACAAATGTAAGCAAAAAAGGACATGTATCCTAGTGAAGCAGTCATTGTGGGGACAACCCTTGCCATCGTGAATCGGTCCATCTGCTCCCGCTTGCCATGCCTAATTACATAACCTGACCAGCTACGGTACCAGTACTATAGAGGTACTTGTATGAAGAAGTACAATACCAGGCAGAAAGAGTGAAGAACATTGCAGGGACCTCTTAATAATGGTAGGAAATTGGAGGCCTGCAACAAAGGGGCTCATAGTATATATTCTTCACTTAGTGTTAGGTATCTCTACAAACCCTGTTGCTAACCCCACTGATAATCATTAATCTCTTCTGTCTAAGAAAGTCTTACCCTGTGCTAGGAGAAACATGTAAGATGTTATTGGAGACCTCAAAATTCTCGTTGCTAGAGAAATGCATGTAGTCTAAAGCAACCAATCTAATGATTTAAATTTTTTAAAATACAATTTTCCAACCAGTCCAATCCATGTCCTGACAGTTGGTGCTTGCCTGCTGTGACCACACGTGGACAGGTCATCATCAGCATTGTAAGAAAATTTGCAGTTACATTATTTTGAATATAATTTACTAAGGACATTTGGAAATTGTGCCCATGGATGGAACTCAACTTTCAGTAAAGTAAATATAAATGGTTCCTCTTAAGAAATTCTAGTTATAATTTTCTCCAATAAAAACATGTCTATATAAACAAACATAATTTATCATCATTATATAAACATGTTTGAGGGCATAAGTCATTAGGCCTACCTTATTGTATTTGGTCATTGAAGAGTTGTTTTTGCTTATGTTTGCCTGACAAGAATAGACTAAGGCCTTGTTCACACCGAAAGCGTGTGCGTTCGAGCGGTAGCTGCTGGAACGCACTGCAAATCGCTGAGAAACTTCCCCCCGCGTTTTGGGGTGGGAGGGTGCAGTGAATTCAATCCCCCCCTGCACAATCAGACGCGTGGCAAAACTGTGCCAGCGTTCCGTTCCACTGCAAACGCAAAAAATAGGGCTTGCGTGCAAAAACTCTGGCACTTCGCATGATGGACGTGCTCCCATCTCTAATCCATCCGGATCAATCCGGCTTCATTAAGAATCGAGGGGCCCCAGATGCAACTCGTAGAGTCATCAACTTAATACCCCACATAGAACGTTCTAAAACGCCTTCTCTGCTCCTCACTTTGGACGCAGAGAAGGCGTTTGACCGAATCAACTGGAATTACCTGTCCCGGGTACTGCACAGATTTGGGTTCACAGGCTGGATTTTGTCAGCTGTTCTAGCACTGTACTCTACCCCGACTGCCCAGGTATATACCTCTGGAGCCCTGTCCGTTCTGTTTTCTATTTCAAATGGCACGAGACAGGGATGCCCCTTATCCCCCCTCATTTTTTATCTCTTAATGGAACCTTTGGCTATGATGGTTAGATCACATCCTGACATTTCTGGCGTAACTCTGAATGGTACATCCCATGTTATTAGTCTATTTGCGGACGATGTTCTTCTGTGTCTCACAAATCCCACCAAATCGCTGCCAGCGATATCCACTTTGCTTGGCAGGTTTGGTGAAATACCATATTACAAAGTGAATACATCCAAATCACACATCCTTGATATGAGAGTACACCCTAAGGCTAGGAGGGAGATGCATTCCTCTTTTCCCTACGTGTGGAAAGAGGATGGCATATCATACTTGGGCACTGTAATGACTAGAAAGTGTTCTTCCCTGTTTGAGAGCAACTACCAATCCTTCTTGGGGACTTTGCCGGGCATGCTCAAAACCATGGATAAAACCTTTCTGTCATGGTCGGCCAGACTGACAGTCTTTAAGATGATGGTCCTTCCCCGCTTGATGTACCTGTTTAGGACGCTTCCTATCTCTATCCCAGATAACTTCTTTAAGGGACTCCATAGGGCCCTCAATGTTTTTGTATGGCAGGGAAAGAAGCCGCGATGCTTTAGGAGTATCCTGACTAGACACAGGAAAGTAGGGGGCATGAGCTATCCAGACTTAAAAGATTACATAGCAGTGTTGCTGGACCAGTTGAGACCATGGTTCCACTCTCAAGGTCCTACCCTCTGGCAGGAGGTAGAAAAGGCACTGACCCCCGGAGCCACTTCACATCTCATGTATATAACCCACCTGCTCTCTGAGCCGATACTGAAGACCCTCTCTCCTTGTGTTCAGGCCTCGAGCATGGCGTGGAAGATTTTACTTCTCCCTCACCATCCATCCGACTCAATGCGCACTCTACTTTCCCCATTAGAAGCTCTCAGAGCTTTACTTCCCTCTTTATCCCTATGGGATTGGACATCCAGAGGGATCCGCCACATACAAGACTGGCTCCTAGACGTAAAATACAACCTTTTACGGCCCTGTCTCTCCGCTATGGCCTACCCTCCAGTTGTTTCCTCCAATATCTCCAAATTAAATGTGCTACATTCCAATCCCCACGTATATTGCAAAATACCTTACCCAGCCTGGAGGTTTTATTTCGAGAACTCACCTAAGGGGGGAATATCATTATTCTACTCTCTACTATATAATAAAACGTCCTTTATCAACGTTAAACCTTTTGAGAAATGGGAAAGGGACCTCAAAAGTACTTTCTCCGAGAGCCCGTGGCTACAGGCCCTCTCATGCACTCTCAAGACCACTAGATGTGTGGAACTATGGGATCTACACTACAAAATATCCCTGCAAAGGTACTATACACCACACAGGTTGGCCAGGATGTTTGCTTCATCTTCCCCATTGTGCTGGAGGGGCTGCGGGCTTGAGGGCACCCTACACCACATTTTATGGGAGTGCAAACACCTCGCAAACTTTTAGAGGGCGACCTTCCAGATCATAACTGACATCACAGGAACATTGGTAGACCCATCACCTGCCCTGGCGGTCCTCTCTTTGGGGATTGAACACTTCCCAGCAAAGTTTAGACACTTAACGACAGATATATTATTGGCAGCCAGGCTTACTATTGTCAGGAAATGGAAAAATGCAATCCCCCCTCTTCAACTGGTGAAATCCTATCCATAGTGAAGCTCCATTACCACTACGAAAAACGTATAGCGTATAAAGAAGGCACATTACCAAAATTTGAGAAGTGGCTCCCATGGGTCTGGTGGTCTGACACAACAATGCCAGATTTTGCTCCTTATAGAGCTGGACTATGTTAGATCTTATATTATTTTACTTATGGAACATCTGGTAACAATTGATAGACTGCGAGGTTTGAGATGAGCCTTAAATATGGTTACTGAATACTGTAATATCAATTATTGGATTATATGATACCCACAACTATAAGTTGACTGCTATTTGTGTTTTCTTTTATTTTGTGTTCTTATGTTTTTATTTTCTGTACCTACTGTACCTACCTTGTTAATGAAACTGTGGAAAAAATTAGGGATGTCCTGATACCGATGCTAGCATCGGAATCGGGCCCGATACAGGGCATTTTGACAAGTAAAAATCTCAATAAAAATCTATTGTATTAAAAATAGGGCTTGCGGGGGGAAGTTTCTCAGTGATCACGATGCGTTCCAGCAGCTACCGCTCTGGAAAGCACACGCTTTCGGTGTGAACAAGCCCTAAGTTTAATTAAATCTTAGCCTTACCTAGAAGGGGGAATAGCAAACTCATATTCTGAAGTTAACAGGTGAACAAATGGGACGACCTCTCCTGGAATGTTGTCAGACATTCAGAGCTGCCATGTGTTCTCTGTAAACTCCCTGTCTTACCTTACAGAGCCTATTTAATCCTCTTAGTTCTTATGAACCACAGAATAATTAGCCTTTATGTTGTAGAGATCTAAGAGTGAGAGTGGCTGGGTAGTTTAGCAAATGACACCCGTGTAGCACTGACACCAATCGGTCCACAAATAAGCTGTGTGCTGTCAAACTATAACGGGGCTTTATGGGCTAAGAGAATTTCTGGCAGATTAACAGTTATTTTCTGTACTTGCAGGATCTTTAAAGGGTTATGATATGGAGAAATGTGCATGCATTGCGGAGATGTACTACATGTTTTTTTTTCTTTCTTACATTTGCCTTGACTTTTCAAGTCAAATAATCACTCAGTCCCATATAGAAGAAATGGGTGACTAAAAAGTTTCCATTGAGTATTACAGGCCTGCCATTAAACAATGGATATAAAAGTAAGAAGAGTCGATGGGCCCACTTTTTGCATCTTAAACTATGTGTGTTGGTTTTACATTGCAACATTTTATATATGTTTATTGCATTTGTCAATGTATGATAACTTGCTTGAAAATATATAAAAAGGGTCTATTTAAAAATGTTTACACACAAGAGTAACATAAATTTCACGGAGGATGCAAACATTTTCACAGTTAAATCCAATTAGAAAATTGTATGAATCGTGAGTGAAAGTTGTGTGATTGTTGGGTGAAAACACTTAAAAATATCTTTTATAATTAGGTCAGGGGGCATAGGCACAGTTTGATAGGTTTTCTATTGTGAATAAAATACAGGTTCATGAGATTTGCAAATTACATTCTGGTTTTATGTAGATTTTACACAGCGTCCCAACTTTTTTTGGAACTGGTGCTATAATACTGTATTATATCATTTGTTTTAGACTTTTAGGCGTCTATTTATTATTACTATTATTATGTGGATCACAAAGAATGAAAACGCATAAAATTAATGTTTAAAAACCACAAATTATTTTTCTTACCACTACTTTTCCTTTATATTAGCTCCTCAAAATATTAAATGCAGAGATATAGTGGTTGGATGAAAGGTTTAGTGTAGTATAACACGTTTTGTAGTTACATAGTAATTTTTGTTATGAAGGTCTATATATCAGACCAAAAGAGGGACATCTGAGGGAGAAAAGAGGGACATCTGAGGGAGAAAAGAGGGACAAAAGGGATTTGGTTTCAAAAGAGGGACAACCCCTAAATGATGGTTAGCTGGGAACTATGAGAGCATGGTGCTCCTTCCTCACTAAACAATTCTGCCCATGTACTAAGCTAAAGAGCAGATGGCAACAGACCTACTGCATATGCCAAGCTGAAGATGGGGGATGAGCAGGCTGTCATAAATTCCTATTCTGAGCTGTTGTATGTGATAGATTCTAATGGGAAGGAGAAGCACTGAGCTAGTTAAAGTAAATCTAAACCCGACCACTAAAATCTCAAAGAATTTTAACATGATAATGAAAATTAAAAAGTTGTTTTCAATCTTTTCAAATATGCAGTTTTCATAAAAAATACCTGGTCATACTTCCATAATGGTCCTTGTGCATTTCCTGTTTTAGGGTGGCAACTGTCTCAGAATTTACCTCGTGTGTTGTCACTCTGTCACATGTGCCTTGGACAAAAAGTACAAGCAGCAGTGCTGACACATTGTGTGGGCACCTCCTACTATATCATCATCATTTTCAGAAAGCCAATCCAAAGCAATGAGTTGTAGCCTAAACTAGATAGATAGTGTGCATGTAAACAGGAAGAGATAAGCAGCACTGAAAAAAAGATGAGAATGGGTGAAAACAGTATTCTATGACAAAGAGGCAACTTCTTATGATAACTATCATCCACCTAGGGTGTAGATCTACTTTACAGTGCCTTGCGTTCATGCTGCGATGAGGTACAGTTATATTTACTTTATTGCTGTACAAGTGAAGTAAGGAGGCCGTGCAACATACTTTTTTTTTTTTTTTCAAACTGCATTTAACTTTCAAAACAGAAGTTTGTGGTCTGATGCTACTTGGCTCCAATAAAGTAAAAAAAATTGAATTGTTTAGGAGGAGTAGGTGTTATTACAAACTGTGTTCAGGTTTTAAAAAAGCCACAAATCACTCTTCCATATCACATTTCTTCTGTAGAGTATAATTTAGGGCTGCATGAAGTATTGTATGTCAGATTTTCTATACGGTGCTGGCAGGAACTGAAGGCTTCATGCCATTTCTTGCAATTTCCTACAATCAATGTACATTCTTTGGAAAAAGGACAGCACTTGAGGATCAGCACTGGAAGACAGAATGCCCCAATTTATTTATGTGATCTTAAGCAGCTTATTTCAGTAATATATCTCTACGATATATGCACATGGAATGCATAGAATGAAAGATCGTAAAATACCCTTCTCTGTAATAGGTCATTATAATGGTACTGTTATTCAGCTCACATTCTTCACTTAGTTACTTAAAGGGAATGTTTATTGGTTTTGCACATTTCCTTAATTTATTAAAACACTAAAAAAAAAAAGATAAGAAATAGTTTTATTTTTCATTTAGGTATTTATAATATATTAAGGAGAATTAATGAAAACTGAAGCTGAAAATGTGTAGCAGTTGCTCAGGGCAACCAATCAGCTTCTCTCTTCAGTTAAGATTTGAAAATGAAAGTGAAAGCTGATTGGTTGCTCAGCACAGCTGCTCCAGATTTTGTCTGCTGTAATTTTGATAAATTCCCCTCATAGTGTTCTCTTTTGAGCCAGTGTGTGGTGCTCTAGTCTTCCACTTACATGGTTAGCTATTTCAGTTTTGCCGAAATAAAAAACTAATTTTTTGACAGAGCTAAGTAGCTCAAGCTAATTAAAGTGATGCTAAACTCAGAAGTTAAATATACATTCAAGTACCGTAACTATTACCAACAAATGTATCTAATTTGTGTATCACTCAGCTGTAGAACCCTTAAATCAGCTCTGAATTGGTGCTGACACTGTCCTTCCTTCTGGAGGGTGGCTATATTTGTTCCCCATGGTCCCTGTGTGTGTTGTAAAGTAGCCAACGCTCCAGAAGGAAGGACAGTGTCGGCACCAATTCAGAGATGATTTGAGGATCTCCAGCTGAGTGATACACAAATAAGATACATTTTTGTTAATAGTCAAGGTCATATAACTCAAGCCTGAAAGCTTTCCAAGTCTGCTCTTGTAGCAAATTCATATCCGGTCAACAGAATCTTTAGTATTCCGCTGCCTGACCACAGCCTGCAGCTTTTTAAAAACAGGCCAGCGATGACAGCAGATCTGTGCGATCAAAGTTTACATTAGTACTGCTTGTTTAGGACCTCCTCCCTCTCCCAGACTGTGGATTGGATAATGAAGGAGCTGCAGTCTACTGATTGGGTCATCCCCGTGCACTCACATAGTACAGCAGCATGTGCAAAGCAGTAAAGCTGCAATTGTCTCCCTCTCAATGTAATACCGTCCAGGAAATTACTGGAACGCAAATAAAAGGACAAAATTCAGGAACTTACACTGGTTGTATTTAACATACACTGAATAAAATATAATGAATATATAAATCCATAACTGCCTGGTGCTTTTATCTGCTTGTAGTTGAACTTTAAATCATATACTATTTAGGGAATAATTATGAAGCAGTGAATGTGACATGTACCAAACATTCACTGCAGGTGAATTAATCACTGAAATTTAAAAGACATGCACCAGGAAAATACATCTCCAGTGAATGTCCAATGTGAATGTGTTTTAGCAAATGCTCTTGTACTTTGTATGAAAGTACTTTATAAATTCAAAATGTAGAAAATAAAATTATACAAAACGTCACCACCTGGATTTAGCTAAACAAATAGGTAAGAGTCTTCCATTGGATAAATTACTAGGTTCAGTAACATTATGTGCTCACAAAATGAGGTCAGCTGCCTACCTAAATATACTGAATGACCAGGTTTTTCCATCAATGGTTTTATCTTCCCTGATGGCACAGGCATATTTCAAGATTCCAGGATTCCTCGGGCTCCAACTGTGAAAGAGTGGTCCTGGGAGCATGAGGCATTATTTTCACACACAGATTGGCCACCACAGAGTCCAGACCTTAACCCCATTGAGAATCTCTGGGATGTGCTGGAAAAGACATTACACAGTGGTCCGACTCTCCCACCATCACTACAAGATCTTGGTGAAAAATGAATGTAACTCTGGATGGAAATAAATGTTGTAAGGTTGCATAAGCTTATCAAAACAATGCCATGGCAAATGTGTGCCGTAGTCAAAGCTAAAGGTGGTCCAATGAAATATTAGAGAGAGTGTGTGACTTTTTCTTTGGCCAGGCAGTGTATATACCTACAGCATACATCAGATGTGTTACCCATCAAAAGGGAGATATTTAAAATGTTCCGGTCTTGCAGCTCTACAGGTTTTCTAATGATTTTAAGTTGTGTTTGTCTTTACTGTAACACTTAATAGTAGGGCTGTTACTGATTAAAATTATCGTGTTCGATTGAGATTTTTTTAAAAATGGATTAATCGATTAATTATAATGCACATACAGAATTCTTGTCTGAGCAACAATGGTAATGAGGACAGGGCCACACAAAGAAATTTAAAATATCTTTTAAAAAATCTGGCCCAGTTTTCCTTTGATAATAATACAAAATAAATCAATGGTATCCCATAACATTTACTATCAAATGAAGGCTCAATTTGTCCTGAACATAAGGTATTATACCTGCATACACCAAGTACTGTAGTTACAAAGATGTGTACAGTTTTACTAACACATGCCAAAGTTGCAAGCATGAGTTCAGGCATTAACGGAGAACTATGAGGTGAGTGCTTTTCACTCACCTCATAGTTCTAGCCGAACTGTGACAATGAGACTGTCACAGGTCGGCTCAGTAGATCGGGAGGTGAACGAACACATACCGGCGTTCACTCACCTCTCGATCCTGTCACGGCTCTCTGCCGTGACAGGGGGGGGGCTGGATTCCCCCCTCCCGCTCCGATCCACCAGCGCTGACTGGCGGAACGGATGGGGGAGGGGGCGGGTATGCTGGCTCTGCCTCTAGATAGGCAGAGCCAGCTGTCACTCAGCAGCTGTGCGGATCCCGGCATACTGAGCCTAGGGTAACGGGAGGACGCTAGTTTGTGTCCTCCCGTTACCCTAAGGAGAACTATGGAGAAAAGCCTTAACCCCATAGTTCTCCTTTAAGATCATTTTATCTTCCGTCATTGAACAAATAATTCACAGTAATTTAATGTAGCATTTATATGTGTGTATCTCATCTGTACTTTTCAGAGATTAAACTACAGTCATATATTCTTAACATATATATCATGTAAGAGTGCAATCGATCAAAGTGTTATTTTATTTGCAGGTGGGATATTGTCGTAGGCATTTTATACCACAATTATCTATTGACCTTTGGTGCTTGCAGCGGTGACAGCTTGCTTGACAAATGGATTTTAACATCAATAGGCCGGGTTAAGGCTGTTCCTCTGGAGATCTAGTCCCGATTTATCATAGAAAGGGAAGGCAGGCTAATTGTGTAATCTTCCACACATTTGCCCCGGCTTAGACTGGCCTTCTCGTAACAATAATTAAAAAGCGTTGCCTGCAGACAATCATTGCATGGCGTCATAACACCAGAACAAGCATTCTAAACTGAGTTTAGAATCAAGTTGTTAAATCAATTGTACCATAAAGCATATCTGAGCATCTAAAATGATTGTAAGAAACACAATGCATGCAATGGATACATAAAATGGAGCTACATTCATACGATCAGCTAGATTGAGTACACTACTAAATAACACTGCTGCTGGATTTCCTCCTCTCCCTCGTTAGTCTCTCGTCGGCTAACAAAGGGAAGGGGGGGAGGAGTCTGGTGACATCACGGACATAGACATCACCGGACTCCTCCCCCCTTCCCTTTGTTAGCCGTCACGGACATCGACGTCACCGGACTCCTCCCCCTTCCCTTTGTTAGCCGACGGAGCCACTTGGGGAAGGGGGGAGGAGTCCGGTGATGTCGATGTCCGTGACGTCACCGGATCTCCGGCGGAAATCCCTGAAGCCGGCGGAGAGGTGAGTACCGATCAAAAACATTTTAAATCGATCAAAAACATTAACGATTAATTGAGGGATTGATCGTTAATTTCCGCAGCCCTACTTAATAGGTAACAATCCAAGGACCCTATCATGAATTTGCTGTGGAGTCTGTCCATTTACACTTCCTGTTCCTGTAATAATGAACATTTGTGGATATCATAGAATCATTGTTTTTCCAGTAAATTATAAAGAAATCATTTCATGTAATCCAGAGGCCCAAATATGAAAAAATCTCCACTGCATTATTTATTTCTGTTTTCAATGTACTGTACAGTACTCTTCACGGCTGTCATAAGTAATGAGCAACTTCTGCAGTACAAGAAGGGGAAAAACACACAGGGTGCCAAGTATTGATCACAGAATTCAGCAGCATTCCACACTTCGTTCTTAAACCCGCTCATTATTTGCACGCACTGAACAGAATTACAGTTTAGCAAGACACCATTGTGTGCTTGACATTACCACCGATTAAATGTCAGAAGTTTAGGAAATGCTGAGGCGCGCAGCCATGCTTTCCCCTGCATAGCTTTCTTTCTTTTTTGGACACAGCTTGCTGGCCTGGAATAATCATGCCTTTGTGTGACAGATGAATTCAGTGCACAGTTTAAAGACTCGCTGTAACAATATGAGTCACACCAAGAAAATGGTGACCATGGCAATGCAGACTGGAAAAACAACCAATGGCTTATCAGAATCACTTAATGCTGGCTCTACTCCTGTTTGAGCCACTCGGTTGAAGGTAAGACTGATTAACCCTTCACATTCTACAAAAGCATCTGTATTTTAAAAACAATAGAAAATAAAAGCTTTCAAAAATGTAAAAGTTTCCTGTATAAACCAATCTGATGTTTGCTTTGTTCCCAAACTTTGCACCGGTAGATTGCTTAGGGTTAGAGTTTTCACCTTCTTCCTTTAATGCAAGGGTTTTGAATTTGAATGTTTGCTTTTATTAGGCCACTAATTAAAAGCAAACATTCAAATCCAAACCTACAGAGAATGAACATTTGAATCTAATTTGCACCAGTGCAGCAACCTGAATCACTCATTTAGAAGATTGTTGTTATTAATTTATACTCCCAAGAAGAGAAACAAGGACTACAATCTCAGTTACAGCCTTTGCACTCCTACTTTGGATATATGCTTTACAGACCATGTATGGCTTCTGCGCTGCAATCCACATGGTTTTTAAAACACTCCTATGACAGGAGGTCCATTAGAAAGAGAAATTAAAGCAAATTCCTGTTCAGTTTGACACAACAGAGATTAATGCAAGGGAAATTAGTGCATGTTTGTACCTACCCATTCATCTCAATAAACATGGCATCTGGGGGGGTGTACATGGACATGGGTAATATGTGATGAGTATCCCCTTCTGACAGCACTGAGTTTGAGAAAAAATAGCTATTATGCACTATTTGTGTTGGGAGCCCCCCCCAGTGTGATGCTCACCTGTCCCCGATCCAACAAGATTTTGGCTTTGCAGCCTATTTTCTGCAATCTCTATTCAAACCTTTGAGATCTAGCACTCTAAACCAGTGTTTCTCAACTTTTGTGTAGTCACGATGCCCTTTAAAAGTATGCAAAATCTCGAGGCACCCCAGTCTAAAATGTGATAGATTTTAAGGGGGACCCCACACAAAAACTCACAAAGTGGGTTTGCCCCTTCACAATGAAGTGCCCCCTTCGAATCAAGATTTCCCCCTTCACACCAGTGTCCCTCTCTTTCACATCAGAAGTCCCTCTTCCACATATCAGAGTTCCCCCTTTACCTCAGTCTT